TGGTTTCGGAAAACCCATTAGTTCGCTGTTGATCGCAGACTGCCGCCTGTAAGTAGTTGCTTCGTGCTTTCTACAAGTTTAGAATCGGAATTAATTATGACTACGAAGAACACATTAAGTTATGTTGCCAAGTTATTACTCTAGTGACTCCTGACGGGTGATATTTGGTTTCGAATTCGTTGTTGGATCCCAACTGAGGTATGTTTCCGACCTATCTTTTTCGTTTACTGGCCTGGATAATAAGTGGGAGGGATTATGATGGGTCTTCAAGAGTTTTCCTGCCCTCTCGGAACCGCTGCGATCTTGTTGGTTTGTATGATCTTGAGATAGTTTGGTTGTGTTGAATGTAAGATCTATGAGTTACCATGTTGGATGTTGAGTTCCTTTGTACACAAGTATACTCTTGCCAGTCCGTATAGTGTCTAGGTTGAGAAACACTGAAGTGATCGTTCCTAGTTTCTATAGTCACTTATAAAGAAATTCAGTATGTATAGTTGAGACCCTTTTTACACACGTTTGGTCTTGCTTTGTCTTAATGTTAAGAAGCTTTAACATGATAAAGCGGGGTCCTAAAAGACAGTTACGACTAGTCGGAGGTGCTCTTCTGCCCCAAATGTCATTTTTTTCATGACTCTGATGTGCATGACAATGAGATCCTAGAAGAGAACTCTACTAGTCGGAGTTGCTCTTTTGCCTTGTATTTTGATATATATGTTTATGGGGGTCCTAAAAGAGAACCATGGTTAGGCTTAGTTTGCCCTTCTGCCCCTTCATTAATATATGACTCTAAAGCTTGGGGTCCTAGATGGGAATTATGCCTAGTTTTGGTTGCTCTTTTGCCCCAATCCTACAATTTTCTCTACTGTTCTTAATTTAACATATTGTGATATAAGATATATGAGTTATCCTATTTCCCGTTGGGATACTTCTGTATAGTTTTCAAGGAGAAACAGTAAGGTGATGTTTCCTAGTTCATACGGATTATAAAAAAATCCACTTCCTATGGTTGAGTCCCTTTGTACACATGGTTACTCTTGTCCTGTCTCATTCTCAAGAAGCTTTAAGATGATAATGTGGGGTCAAGAAGAGAGCTACGACTAGTTGCTCTGCTGCCCCAAGTGTCTGTTTGTCCATGATACTCTAATGTGCATGGCAATGAGGTCCTAGAAGAGAACTCTGTATTTTGAGTTGCTCTTCTGCCTTGTCTTTTTATTGTAATTGGTTCTTTGATATATTTTCTTAAGGGGGTCCTAAAGGAGAACCATGGTTAGGCTTAGTTGCCCTTCTGTCCCATCTATATATTTTGTTATGACTCTAAAGCTTGATAATGGGGTCCTAGATGGGAACTATGACTAGTCTTGGTTTGCTCTTTTGCCCCCTACCATTTTATCTACGGTTCTTTCGTTACCATGTAGCCTATTGGGATACTGTTGCATAGTGTCTGTGGAGAAATAGCGAGGTGATATTTTGTAGTTCCTACTATCGATTATAAAAATTCACTCCTTCGAGTTGAGTCCCTTGGAACACTTTGTTTCTCTTGCCACGTCTCAATGTGAAGAAGCTTTAACATGATAAAGCGGGGTCCTAGAAGAGATCTATGATTAATTTTAGTTGCTCTTCCGCCCCAAATGTTGATTTGTCCATGTTCTCTAAGGTACATGTTAATGAGGTCGTAGAAGAGAACTTTGCCATCATGAGTTGCTCTTCTACCTTGTTTGTCATTGTGATTGGTTATTTAAGCATATGTGCATTGAGTCCTAGGGAACCATGGTTTCCCTTCTGCCCCATATGTACTTTTTGTATGGGGTCCTAAACAGCAACTATAACTAGTATTGTTTGCTCTTCTGTCCCAGCCTATCATTGTCTCTGCGATTTTCTAAAGAACATTCCTAAAGGTCTTAGAAGGAATGTCTGCTAGTCCGAATTTCTCTTTTGTCATATCTGTCATCTTGGAGGTTTTTTAAGATACATACCCGGGGTCTTAGTGTTAGTGTTATGGTATATGATCCACGATTGAACCTCTCCCAAAAACTCGAGTTATTGGGATCAACTGGTTCTTGACATGGTATCAGAGCCTTCTGTGACCGAGAGGTCTTGTGTTCGATTCCCGGTGACCCCATTTGTTAAGCACATGAATTTCTTGTCTTCAGATATGTGCAAACTTCAAGCCTTTGTGAGTGGCTTTCGTTTGAGGGGCGTGTTAGTGTTATGGTATATGATCCACGATTGAACCTCTCCCAAAAACTCGAGTTATTGGGATCAACTGGTTCTTGACACTTCTGGTTAATGATAGTTGCCCTTCTGCCCCATTTATTATTTTAGCGTGTTCTGTGAATCTCATTTGAATGGGATAAATGCATGGTTACCAAGAGTTGTTTGGGAAACAAATAATTTACTGATATCTCATTTGAATGGGATAAATGCATGGTTACCAAGAGTTGTTTGGGAAACAAATAATTTACTGATATGAAAGTTGCTTCAGTCGTGCCTTATAATTAGAGGGTCATTTGTGGGTTTGTTTAACAAAAATTGTAAGGAAAACTTTCGACGGTCTGTTGCATTAGTCGTGTTTTACAATTAAGAAATGTTGCTATATTGTCCCAGAAAGAAAATTCTGAATTCTGAATGTCGGATGCTGACATGGCAGTGTCTGCTTTATGGTACTTTTAACAGTTCCCTATTGGTTCTTTTATAGCATATGATGGATTGAAATTCATGAAGTCGATTTTTTTTTTCAGTATTGTAAATGGTATGGTAAGGAACGCCAAACGCCCAAACCAATGTTTACAAAAAAAAAATACTTCATAGTTTTTGGAAAAGGGCAATGTCTATTTTTTACCCAAACCTTTTTCAGATTCTTTTATTTTAACCAAACATATAAAAATTCTATTTATTATCCAAACGTATTATAATTTATCAAAGTCTAGGCATTCATTCTGTTACCATTACTTATTTCGTCCAGGTGAGGAGTGAGATTTTGTTTTGTTTTTTGATAATCTTTTTATTAAAAATAGTAAATGATGGTATTCTGACCGCCACGTAGGAAGTCAACTCATTATGGTCATACTTAGTCAGCATTACTAACAGAAAAGTTGACGGAGAATTAACGTTTGGATAATTTTTAGGAATTCAATAGGTTTGGTTAAAATAAAAGAATCCGAAAAAGGTTTGGGTAAAAAATAGACATTGCCCTTTGGAAAATAATAAAACGTGTTTTACTAGTGATTAGAGGTGGCAATTTCAATCCAATCCACCAATCCAATCCATCAATCCATTAAAAATATCCACCTAATCCAATCCAATTAAATCCAATCCATTTGATCCAAATCCAATTGGATTGGTGGATTCATGGATTGGATCCATGGATCATTGATAAATTACGGTTTAGTACCTATAATTTTTATTCTTTACATTTTGGTACCTAAAATTTTATTTTTATACGAAAAATATCATTGGAAAATTACGTTTTGGTACCTAAAATTTTTCATTGTGGCATTTTAGTACCTAAACTTTTTACATTTTACATATTGGTCCTTGGTTGAGGATGTCATTTGGATTCATGGATAATCCACCAATCCACTTGATCCAATCCATGAATCCACCAATCCATTAGATCCAATCCACTTGATCCATGGATCCACCAATCCAATCCACCAATCCAATCCATTTGCCACCTCTACTAGTGATGGTCAATAAATAATGGATTATACAAATATTTGTCAACCATGAAAACATGTTCCAATTTTTTATTTAAAAGAAAATTCAACATTTAAATTTAACACTGAAAATATACGTCCATTTTACCTGTTAATTAATTTTTGTTTCGTAAAAGACAAGTCCACTATGGAGTTTATTGTGTCGAGTCTTGGTTAAACACTGATTAAGATTAGTGGGGACTGGGGAGGAATAAAATGATTGGCATTGCATAGCGCATTGGGATCTTCTTCACATGGCGTTCGTGTCCAGTGTTTTAAGCATTCTTAAACACCTTTCCATCTTCCTCTCCTAAGCTCTGCTTTGGAACCCAAAAACAAGATTAACAACTAACAACCAAACATCTCTCTCGAAGAAAACAAACAAACAAACCACGCAGCTCTTAATGTTGATTGACGCTTGCACCAATTAAGCTTCATGCTAAGAACATGATATTGTTATTACATTAATTAATGATAAACGTGGTTTGTTTTGTTGTGGGGTGGGTGATTAGCAACCACCCGCAACAAGGCAGGCAGGCAAACAAAGCAAGTCTGTCCAAACCAACTTCTTAAGATTGGCTTACCCAACCAAACTGCTTTCTGTTAATCCTTATTTGGTCGCCATTAGGTTTGGCTGTTTCCCTGCTTTTCCTTTTGTCAGGAAATTGGGTAGGAAAGAATTTGTTGGTAGGGATCGATCAAATCATTTTCAGGAATCCTTCCAACCAAAATTTGGAAGTAGCAATCTATACAGATTTATGTGTTTGTAAGTTTGAGAAGGATAACAAGAATAAGATATGAACGTTGAAAACAAGTCTGAAAACCATCACACTTTTATTGTGAAAATTTTACCGTTCCCTTCTGAATGATTGCTTCGTTTCGCCCAATGTGATATTTCCACTTCTTTTTTACTAACTCTTAACACTTTCTCTATTGAAATTATAAAAGTACCAATTTGGGAGCAAAAGATCCGTGATTCAGACTATACTTTCGTCATTGTGGATGATACCACGTAGAAAGGTTATAATCACATGCCACAATAACTAACCCTACCATCATTACGATTTGAGTTTATCTTAATCATGACGAGTTTTTTTTTATGAATTTAATTTAATTTTTCTCATCTAATATATTTTGATTGTTTTTAGTAAGTTCTTACAGTTCAGATAAAATCTGGCCCTGCAGATCTTGTTCCTAGTCACCAAATATGGGAAGGCAAGGCAGGCCCCCATGCATGCTCCCTGTTCTGCATTGCAGCTGTTCTTTCTGTCTCACTCGCAGCATGAAAGCCAAAAAGTAACAACAGGTACGATTTGCAGCAAAATCTTTGAGATTTCTTCACACCCTGTTCCTTAACGTGTTGAATAATGGTGTCATTCACACTAGGCTAGCTAGCTTCCACAGAAACAGAGTCAACTACTACTGCAAGGTAAAGCAAGGCATGATCCAATTATTGGAAAATAGTTCAGACATATTGGGGAAAGAAGGTTAAAAGGGTACACCAAAAGCAACTGTTAGAAGAACAAAATCTGGAAGGAAAAGAAAAAAAAAACAACTCTATAAAATGATGGAGAACCTACAAAAAGAGAAAAAAGAAAGTTATTCTTCTTCCATTCTATAATCCTGTATCTAAAGCCGGCTCAAACAGATAAATATTCTATCTCTGTTGACAATGACAACAACAACTAGCTGCTCACCTTACAACTCTGGTAACAATGAGCCCTATAGCTGCAGCAGCAACTCCAGCATCATATCGAGTTAACAACAAAAACTAAAAATTCCTTTTTTCTTACATTCAGTTTCTCAATGAGCTATATATCTGGTCTGTAGACTGAGAATCAACCCCCCCCCCCCCCCCCCCCCCCATCTTACCCTTTTAAATTGTTTCCTTGTATCAGCATGCAAGCGATAATCCTTCTTGCAAAATCTATTTACACTGATCTTCCCCGCGCTTGGCCATTAAAGCTACCCTAGCTATGAGATGTTTGAGCCGGTCTGCGCCTGGACCTGGCTGAACTTTGTTCATGTCCCCAACTTCAGTGCAATCGGGGCTATTGGAGCACCACCCTCCAGGAGTGAACGCCCCAACCTTCCTGCCAAGTAAATCGTTGTCAATCTTATCTAGGGCAGGGTCATTGTGCTGAAACTTCCTGGCAAAGGCAGCACCACTCGCAATCATGTTTTCGGTGTCGTTGAGGGTAAGTATATGTGGATGCTGCTTTGGAGGCGTATCCCAAGCAATGTAGTGCAGGTCGTGATTGATAGCCGTTCGAGCATACTCCGGAGCATTGCATATTACAGTGTGGAAGTAGCCTTCAGGAGAGGACACAAAGTTTGCATAATACATGAGCAACGTTCTCGGTAGGTTATCCCATCCCCAGATTAAGTACTCGACAAAAGAACGTGTGAGAACCATCCATGCAGAACCTGTGAAACAAAAGATGAAGATATCGTTTGATCGTCAGCAGAAGGTGAAGTGCCATGTCTGATAGTTCAGACATACCGAGTTGCAACTACAGCAGCGAGGAGCTTTTGAACACAGATAGATGGTGAAAATGGATTGTCATCACTGGCTTTTCATGAAAACAACTTGATCAACCAATAGATACATTCTCAACAGAAGCACAGCAAAACACCTAACCCATTAGATTAGGAGACTAATAGAAGCTATTTGCAGTGAGACATAGAGCTTCTATTCAGTGATGAACAACTAGTGATCTTCAAGCTATCACCTAGAAGATGCTGATTGATTGTAGCGATTGAAGTTTCCAGCTTGGAGTTCTACCTTCCTAAGGTAAACTAGACTGTGAGATGAAATTTTGTAGGATCTCGCAAATAGAACTCACTGTAAAATGCTATGAGAAAAGGTAGGGAAACCCATTGCAATTGGAGAAAGTGAGTAAGATACTAAAAAGTGAATGCAATACTAATTCATGCCTGGAAAGAAAAACATTTCAGCTGGTTCTAGCATAGCAGATTAGCAGTAAGTCTGCAGCACTGAGAGAGCACTAGAATAGATACATTACATATACTAACCAGTAAACAACTTGAATGCTGTTGGCAGAGGTCGCTTGGGGTTAGCCCCGAATATGTCTTCCTTGGTGGTGGAGTAGAGTCCAGGATCCACGATTAATGGCATTGCTCTCTTTTCCCTGGATAACAGAATAGGGTAACCTATTACTTACTGCTAACAAGTCCCAAACTTCTACCTCCATTGTGGACGCTGATTTTTAAAATTCCTGGGAGAGAAGTGGAGAAACAGGGAAGAGAACTTACTCTTTCCAACCCAACTGACTAGTATGCTCAATGAAGTTAAGATTTCGGTTCAAAGTTGAGAACGTGTCCAAAAGATCTGCACCACATAAGCAGATGAGTAAACACTCGTACAGAGTATGAGCTTCCTGATGAAAAGATGAAGGACCTGATTTAAATTCACTATCAAGACATAGACTGACCATCTTGAGTTACAAGAGGATAATCAGAAGCACTGAGGTTGATGAACCAATCCCACTCTTTACTCCTCTTCAGAAGAATTGCACAAGCATGAAGTGTATTTGAGACCATGGTGGGTCCTCTATAGGTCACCATATTTGCTTTGGAGTTCATGTAGACATTCCCATACTTGGCGAAAATCGGATGCTTCTCCACTCTTGCAGCAAGCTCTAACCTTTCTTCTGCCGGGGATTCAAGATCCAAGTGTACGACGTAGTGGTTTCTCGGATGGTAAAGGGCATGAAGAGTTCTCCAAAGCTTATCCAGGTCGCCTTTGGATCCAGACACCAAGTAAGCAAACCTAGGAATTTTAGGACCAGGGGGAGGTGGAGGAGGAGATTGTGAAACCTTTGTTTCAGCAAAACCTTGGCCTGCTGTTTGGTTTACACGAGACGGGAAAATGTTGAAGATGTGATTGATGGTGTGGAGTGAAGATATAAGACCCATGTTGAATGAAGTTGCTAAGAGGAAGACACAGATGAGAGAGCTTATGACTAGAGGGAAAACCCACTTCTTCTCCATGTTCAGAGACCCCATTGCAGGACCTTATCATGGATTCAAATGAAGGATCCTCTCACATCCAATTTCAAGTCAGCACTTAAGGAACTTTTCTCCTCTGGATTGAATAGCAACTGTCTGCCTAGGACGCCACGGTTGAGACTTAGTTTGAACAGAAGAAACAGGCTGCTCAATAAAAAAAACAAGAACAATTTACAGCCCATTATTATCATCACCAGGCCCTGGTGGTATACATGGAAATCGCAGACCAATGAACTCGATCAAAAATGACAAAATGGAGAATCAAACATATACCACATATTGAGATATACAGAATAAAAACAAATAAGATTCAGCTATCATTCAGAGGAAGTTAACAAAATTTAAATTACGAAATCCAAACCTCTTAATACAAGAAGAGAGTTAAAACAGGTATTTAGTATTGATATGAAACGAATCATTGTTTTAGCTCAACAATGGTACAAACCACAAAATCATCCCAGCTAAAGATCCCAGCTTTTGAAACACGAAAAAGGGAAAAGGATCCCTTTGCCCTTCCTATACACAAGAATCATCACACATCTCCAAAACCCAATTAGCTAAATCCCATAAACGGAATGCAGAGAGAGATCACGAGATTGAGAAAGAAACACAGAACCCAAATACGGAAACTCAAGATTCAAAATCATTTGGATCAATGGAATGGAGGACAAACTAAAGAGAAGGACCCAGTAGTAGAAAGAAATCCACGGAATGGTGAACACCCATTGAATTAGAAATCACAAACAACCCATTATACACTGTGTATCCCGGAAAAGGAAAGAAATCTAAAGGGCGCAAAAGATTGACAAAAAAATCAAAAGAAAAGCAGAACCCACGTAGGGAGGGACCTTCCCAATCAATCATCAGCCATGTTAAGTACCTTTTCTCCAATGCAGATTGCAGGGTGAAGTTGAATCCAGCTCCCCTTTCTCCTGGGAGACTCTAAGAATGGGGCGGAGGAAAGAAAAAGGGGGAAAGTTGGAGAGAACTAGATGGAAATATGGAGAGCGATAGAAAGAGCGTCGTTATTGTTAGTCATTAAAAGAATTGCTAAAAACAAGACTCAGATATGAGAAGCACGATGAGAGACAAGAGAATGGTTTCAATGCGAACAAGGGGGAAGCTTTCAGAAGAAACAAATTTATTTTTTTGAAGGAGACTCGTGTTTCTCTCTCCCTCCCTCTCTCTATCTCTCGCTCTCTTCCCTGCTGTGGGGATGAATGAGTTTCTATTATTGTGACCAAATATAATAAAATTAGATCTGCGGATTTTTAGGTTTTCTTGTTCCCCACAGAATTCCCTCCTGTTAACTCCAGGAAAACTACACATACCTCAATATCCATGCGCCTGTTACATGCGCAGATGTTGGATGAGTTGAGTCGGATTATAGTTAGAGGCACGACAACGGTGTATTTCGATACATGATGATACTAATAACTAGGAGTGGCTATACGGTCCTATCCAGTTAAATTGATCGAAATTGATCTGGTTCAGTCCGGTTTTTTTGAAAATATAAGGACCAAAGATTGGATTGGATACAGTTCGGTCTTGACCAGGTCCGGTCCCAATTCGATCTTGATTTTATATTGAGCTTGTGGGGATTTGAGTGGCCTAAGGCCTGAAAGGTTGAGGAGTTGGTTAAGTTTTGTACTAAGTGCAAAGGTTTGTGACCGTTTATGCAAATTACCCTTGAGTTTTGGGTGTTGAGCTCTCTTATCCGGTCTTTATCCAGTTCTCGATCCAGTCCCGAACGGTTTTTTTACCTCAAATCTAAAACCAAAAATTGGATTGGATTGGTCCCGATCCGGTCTCGGTCCGGGTTATACGGTCCGATTTCGAGTAAAACCAAAAAACCCGGACCAAATAGCCAGCCCTACCTGTGTAGGAAGCCATGAGTTTTGCTCATTTTGGGTAGGAAATAAGAGTTGTGCAAGTAGTCAGTTTTAATGTTTTTTTTCGAGAAAAATACACTAAAAACACGCTTTGATATACTTTAGTTTGAAGAAAAATTTCATATTCTACATGTCCAACTCGTTAGCGACTGCAATAAGATGCATTCATGGCCCATGGAGCATCCAAATCCAAGACTATTTTACATGTATTGTACATATTACAAGGAATCATGACATTTTGTGCAACAAACAACTCTCGAGAATAGCAAACTAAAACTTGTGGTAATACTACTAGGTTTGATCCTTCATAGCTAGTCCCTAATCCTAGCTAGGACTATCTCGAGTAACTATCTCAGCATTTAACTCGAGTAACTATTGACATGAATTAGATGGCAAAGGACTGACCAGTGACCATATATGTTAGGCTCACCGTCCGCCACTGTGACAATTGAATTTTGAGAAATTCCGCCATTATTGTTGCATTGCATGCAAGGTCAGGTAGGTCATCAAAGTTCTGCTATGAATGACAACGTTTTTGGCCACCTTAGCATTCATGACTCATGACCACGACGTGCTCGATCTTCCAACAGTCTAAAATATGCATTTGTGCCAAATCAGTCGTTACCGCTCCTCCCTAGTCCCTACATAGAAGGGGTCCCCTTTGTTTTTTGCCCCTCTCGGCTGGCAATAAAACCAAAACCAAAAACAATCATTTCCATCAAATAATACTAGAACACGAAAGGATGAAATGGAATAAAAGAGAGAGATCATGAAAAAGTAGGGCCAAAGAGTAGAAGTTGCAGTCACGGGTGGTGACCAAAAGCAGGCAATCAGATCCATGAACTTTTAAACAGCTGACTGCTCAATCAATAGTGTAAAACAGCGTACAGATTACAGACCAGCTCCCTTGCAGAAATCAAACACAACTCCACGTAGAACAGTATGCTGTAAAGATAAATTATAAAAGATGCCTAGTTCCCCTCCATTCTGTATCTTGCTACCTCCAGTCAATCTTTACAGCCTAAGGTATTATGACCCTAGCACAAAAGTGCAATGCGAAGGTGTCAAGAATGAAAAGAATCCGACTTTGCTTTGATAAGGAAAGGGAGAGGGAAGGACCGTAAGGAAGGCATGGAACATGTACCTCAGCTATCTGCATTTACAGCTCCATTCGGATTTGTAAAACTAAACAAGTATGATGTTTATGAATTCTTTCATCTCAATATACTAGTACCAAGCTAGGACAAGTGCTCACGCATCAGAGCTTCAATCTTCTCAACGTCTTCAGGGGCATCAACACCGTGAGCTTCGTGATCAACCTTTATTACCTGGGGGAAAAAAAATCAGTAAGTTTGCTGCTTAATACACACAGAATAATAATTAACAACTTCTTCTGTTAGTTTTTCATTGCATTCATTTTGGTGTTAGTTCAACTTCATATTTAATTCCATTAAAAAAAAATCCATATCTAGGAATTCTACATCAATGTGGCCTCAATAAAGTGTTGATCACTACAGGCAGCCTTCATTAAGTCAGGGGTGATAAAAATAATTGTTCTGCTTGATTCACTGCATTCAAGGCATTTTTGGGAATGCTCATTTTCTTTTTGTCATCCAAAGGCTTACTTATAGCTAGCCATTTTACAAGAAATTTAGTTCAATGTGAAGATTAAATGTGGGGTGGCAAGACATTCAAAATACTGTGACTCAGTCAAGGTAAATCATAAGGCCAAAGGAAACCACCCACCTTCATTTTGTAACCATTCTCAAGAACTTTAAGCTGTTCAAGATCTTCTTCTAGCTGCAGAGGAGTAGGTGGAAGTGCTGGGTACAACTTCAGAAACTTGGTATCATAACTCTGGAAACATCATATGACATCATTGTGAAGAGTTCAAACACACAATTTGGCTAGTACGGTACAGAATAACAGAGCTTTGATCTTTCATAAGAACGATGGAGTTTTCTTTTCTTTTCCCCCCTACTATAAGCGTCATGATGAAGAAACGGCGTCATAAAAACTCGTCTCCGTACCTGAATACCAAGGTGTAGCAAATATGGATACCGCGGATTGACTGCTCCTGATCTGCATTAAGTAGATCCAAACATCATCAAGATGGTCCAGCCTAAAGATTCTAAAACTAGATACAGTACTGAAAGGAAATCGGGATATGGATAGTTTATAGGCTCACTTATTATAAGGAATCAGCCCTCTGGAAAAATAGATGGCATAACCTTTGTTATCCACCACACATTTTACACGGTTCGGATCAAATGCATCTTCAGGTTTCAAAGCTGTAACAGCGGTGCTAAACACTGCATCTGGAGCTGCCTAGATACATGAAATGCACACTTCAATTCTCAATTAAGCATTCAATGAAATCTTATCCATAAATATTAGCCTATTGCATTAGCCTGAGAAACCACAAGAGAAGCTACAGGAAAGCAATTCCGATATTTTGGCTCGGAAATGTGGCAGTCCAAGATTGACAAAGAAAGTAAGAGAAATGGCTGACAACTCACCTGCAAAGCTTTGACAATTCCATCAATTATCCCGGGTTCAATCAAAGGCTCGTCTCCCTGAATATTGACAACAACGTCATATTTTTGCTGTAGCTTTTGCAGAGCTTCATTGCAACGTTCAGTTCCTGTTTACACGCCATGAAACAGTAAACCAGGATGCAACAGCAAAAGCTAGCAGACGAGGAAAAGTTATCACACAACGTACACCAAAGCAACCCACCATTGCGACAGGATTCTGAAGTCATTATAACATCAGCACCAAACCCTCGGCAGCATTCTGCTATCTTCTCATCATCCGTTGCCACAACTGCACTAGCAAAGGGCTCTAGAAATTATAAATCCCAAAGCATGAGCCACAACTACATGTTTATGCAAATTTCTACAGACCAAAGACCAACTAATTTCATTTTCTATCATCAGTATATTGCAGTGGATGGCTGGAGTTAAGTCCATCCCGAACACTAAAACAGCAGTACGTGTTTGAACAAGTTGGTGGCTTGACGGTGATTACCTCACTTTACAAGAATTTTGTTTTACTAGGCATCTAAAATCAATTCACAGACCCAGCTAGAAGTTTGAAAACCACCGGCAACATATAAATGAAAACTAGAAGCAGCTAAGGGAAATGGGATGGTCGTACCTACATGATTCAGACAAGTTGAAAGTTTAGCCCTCTCCCAAGTTCTCTGCAGATCGCCCAACCAAAATTTCCCAGTCAAAATAGTTTACACAAACCTCTCTCGAGTTCCGAAACTTCATCTTTCTAAAAGAAGCCCACGTAATATGGCTGGATTCAGTAAAAGCAATCGAGTACGAAAGCCAGAGGATGCATTCAAGAAACAATGAATTAAATACTACGAATGAATCCCCAGAGAAAACCCAAGAGAAGAAAGGGAACCTGGATCATGGGTTTCCCCAGGATTTGAACGAGTGGCTTGCCGGGGAAGCGTGAAGATGCGAAACGAGCGGGAATAATACCCACGACGCGGCTCCTAAACTTTCTGGATCCGCCGAGATAAGTTCGAGCGGCGAGACCGGCGACAATGACAGCACTGGCTACAATACCCTGCACGATCCATAGCTTGGATGAGGAAGACGAACCGGAGGACGACGAAGAACGACATGGACGAACATCCATTTTCTCCTCTCCTCGTACTCTTCTTCGGATGGGTTAATTCCCAGAATACAGCATTAATTAAACATAATTCCCATAATACATGAGATTTATAAAATTTTCCCAAACTAAGGGTTCGAGTTCCATAAACTCGAACAACAAGCCCGTTCGACGATGAAGAACTCGAACTAACACCATATCGAGTTCTTAAAACTCGATCAACTGTAGAACGATTTTGGAATAATCGATTAAGGTAGATCGACGACAAAGGACTCGATCAAAGTAGAACGACTTTGGACAACTCGATCCACTAAGATCGATGCCAAACAACTCGATCAAGTTAAACGACTTTAAAAGCCTCGATTCATATATGCACTAGATCGATGCCTTACAACTCGAACAACCTAAATCGATTCCTATGGCCTCGAACCACTGGTCAATTATCTACAAAGTCACTTTCCCCCGACATGCTTCAGGATAGGGTTACAGGGATAGGATTCTTTGTTGTACTAGATCGAGTTCTAAGGACTCGAACTAGTGTAGTTCGATTACCCTGGACTCGAACCACGGCTCAATCATTTTGTCCAATCACTTTCGGCTCGAGTTCTCTGGACACGAACTACTGTAGTTCGAGTTCTTTGGCCTTGAACCACAACATTAGTTTACGAAGATAAAAAGCAAGCACTTAGCACATTCTGGCAGCTCTTATACTTTCTATCTTCTTTCTTCCAAACACAAACTGCAACAGCTGGAGCACCATAGCTGAGCAAAGAAGAAAAATATTGGAGGTAAGTTATGCTTACGTTGTTTGAATGAGCATATTAGAATTTTGGATTAATTTAGTATTGTTTGAACTGTATGTAATTAGCTGCTTCTATAAACTGCAGGAATGGGTAGAAATTTTCGAAAATTCGACCTATTGATTCGGTGGAATGGTCGAATTACACATTTTCATAACAGTGTTGACTACGAAGATGGTGAATCAAGTACTGTCCGGATTGAGAGCATATTTACTTGGCAAGAACTCAGACATATTTGTGCGGAACGATGTTGCATAGGAGGGCAAAGAGTATGCAAGATGACTTATCTTATGCCTGTTTACAAGGATTACGCACTTGTATATGAAGGATCAGTTCTGTCTGACGATGATGACATTAATATGATGGTGAGATCTATTGCAGAAAACAGATTTCCAACGGCTGAGGTGTATATCGAAACAGAAGTTGTTGGTCAATATGGTGGCGGCGATTATACCGAACAAGGTGAAGGATCGGGAGGGTTTTCCGGTTCAGGAGATTTTAGAGTTATGCATGATGCACCATGGCCAACATATGAGGATCGAACTGCACCTGGTCCATTGGTGGAACATGACGGACAGGAGTGGACAGTAGGGGGTGAAGAATGTGATTACATAAGGGCACCCAGACAGGCACCCAAACAAGCATCTACACCAGCATCTGGCATCAACAATGATCCGTATGTGGATAAACCAAGTCTCCGTACACTAGCGAGGCAAGCGACGTGGAAGATGAAGATTTAGAATCAATGAGTAGTTCAGATGGTGAAGATCTGGAAGTTGATGAAGGGGAATTTGAGCCCCCCACACCTCACTACACGATGGTGCCACAACATCCTCTATATGCTCACAACGACGATCCTGACCTCCCTCCTATACCTATCTGGACTCCTGATTCTGGATTCATGGTTGACCAAACATTTGGAGGAAAGCCTCAGGTGGTCGATGCATTGAAAGCAACTATTATGCGAAGAAGTTTTCAATATCGTGTCATCACTTTCGACACTAAACAAATTCATGTTCGTTGTGAGAACCATGGCGACGGATGCATGTGGCATGTTCAGGCGACATATGTTAAAAGGAATGGGGCTTGGCTCATTCGTAAGACAGACAACAACCACACTTGTAGGTCGTCACTGATTTATCTAGATCACCGACAATTGAGTGCAAGAAAGGTTGCACAAACAATCAAACATCTTATTGAGGCAAAACCTGGGATCACCGTGAAGAGTGTCATCGCTGAAGTGAAGAATCGACAAGGCTATACCATCAGTTACAAGAAAGCTTGGCATGGGAAGCAAAAAGCTATGGCGGAGGTGTATGACGATTGGGAAGAGTCATTTGCTAACATGCCTCGTTTGATTCTTGCAACGGTGGACAAGAATCCTGGGTCTGTTTTTTTGCCTAGTTACGAAGATTTCTATGGGGGTGCTAAATGCGTGTTTAAGCGACTATTTTGGGCATTTAAACCATGCATTGATGGTTTCCCCCATTGTCTGCCAATAATCCAAGTTGATGGCACATTTCTGACCGGCAAATACAAGGGCACTCTACTCGTTGCAACTAGTGTTGATGACAGTATGCAACTTTTCCCGCTTGCTTTTGCTATAGTCGAATCGGAGAACAACTTAAGTTGGACATGGTTTTTTTCCCAACTATACATTCGTGTCACTCAACGGAAGGACATTGCCATACTTTCTGATCGACACCATGAAATTGCACATGCTTTCTACGACTTGCCCGAGGATCTAGGGTGGAAGTGGCGTTGGTGCATACGAAATTTCAAAAGCAATTACGGGAATCACTTTGGTAGAACTTATGGACAACGTGCAGTTTGGCACGCTGGTAAGAACAAATAAGATGTTGTGATTAACTCATTGGTTGAATGCTTATACTCCTTTACTAGCCTTATTTTCCTTTATTGTAGCTATTGCTTTTCAGACTCGAAAGTTTGTAGACAAAATGAAGAACATAAGGGAGGTCCACTCTGAAGGTGCAGATTGGCTAGAAACTCATCCTTTTGAGAGGTGGACGTTACATCAAGACGAAGGGTATATGTACGGCATAAAAACAACGAACATGGGTGAGTGCCTCAATGGTTTGTATGTTGGTCTTCGTGCAATGCCTATATCATCTATAGTCTTGCATACCTTCTTTCGTACGGTGACATGGTTCGTTGAATGCTACCACGCAGCATATCAGATGCTGAATGCTGGAATCTACATCCCAAAGAAGATTACGGATGACATGAAACCATGGTCGGAAATGGCAAAATGGCATAAGGTGACTTTATTTAGTCGAAGAGATTCCCGCTTCGCAGTAGTAACAGGAAGTGGAACAGATAGTTCAAAGGATGGTAATGGTCAAACAGTTATACTGGATGCAAGAAATGGAACAGGAGAGTGTACTTGTGGGAAGCTTCAAGGGAGACACCTGCCTTGCTCTCATGCATATGCAGCTGCGAGAAGCGTTAATATGGACCCAACTATATTTGTTAGTCCATACTACAAGACTCCATACGTGGTCAGAATTTGGGAAGGGTCGTTCATTCCCTTAGCTCATGAAGAATATTGGCCCCAGTATGATGGACCTGTAGTGTACCCTCCCGAGCACATGAAGCGTACCAAAGGTCGGCCTAGAGTTAACCGAATTGAAAATGAGATGGATAGATCAAGGACACAGCGACGCCGCTCGAAGAAGTGCTCTGCATGTCGAGTTGAAGGGCATGATAGGCGCCAGTGTCCAGGGCCATCGACTGACAATTGAAAGTTTATGTTGTAATTTGAATTTTATGTTGTGATTTAAGAACTTTATGTTGTAATTTGAATTTTATGTTGTGATTTGAATTTTATGTTGTGAAATAGAACACCTTAACAACGTCATTAGAAATAGAACAACTTAACAACTCTAAACAAATAGAACAACTTAACAACCCTAAAGAAATAGAACAACTTAACAACGTCATTAGAAATAGAACACCTTAACAACTCTAAAGAAATAGAACAACTTAACAACTCTAAAGAAGCAGCAACTCGATAATATCACAACTCTATAAATCACACTGCTCACTCTTGTGCACCACGTCTGCGTCCCTCTCTTCGACGTCTATTCCTTGAACGAACTCCATATCCAATTCCATTATTTTGTGGCAGTAGAGGTGAGTTGCAGTGGCTGGAGGACCATAAAAAACATTTGCCATCAGAGGCTGGAAGCTTTGCTGCGGGGTTTGGAATTGAGGGTCGACATTGGGATACCCATAATACGAGGGAGCATAGTTGGCTCCTCCTCCCCCTCATTGAGAAGAACCTGATGATCCCTTTCCGAATTCCCTTCTGACGGGGGGGATCCATACTCATATGGGTCAGGAAGTGCCACATCTTCTCGTACTTGCACAGGGACTGTAACTGGCTCTTGCCGACATTTACTCCTCCTTGGTGGCGATGGCGGGAGGGATTCAACTTCAATGGCATAGGAGGAAGGACGTGGCGGTGCAGGAGGATATGCAATGACATCCCTTCGAATTTCTCGCGAACATGACAAGAGATTCTTGAATAGCTTCTTCAAGAATGAAATTTTCTCAGGTGGCACATTTTGTTCTGGTTCACTCTCCAACGTCATTGATGCAAGTTCCAACCCATCAACCTAAATAATAAACATGTTATTCAAACACTCTTTGTGTAGCTAAAGTGATTATAGTAAATAGATATTGTGCTTACCAACGAACCGATCACGGTGCCACGTTTGGTTACCCATCTTTTTGTGAACTTGCGGTACCAAACCATGTATTCATCTTGGTACCCCATTGGCCTCGTCATTGGGATGCCATCAATTGCATACGTCTGACGAGACTCCCACATATCAATCCATCTATGGTGTTTGGTTGACCAATCACTGATTGTACCCCGCAGATCTTTGTTGTACTTGTGGAGTGACTTATGTACGTCCGCTGGCGGGAGAGGAATCGGTTGCGCCCAATTATATTGTCGGACACATCTATCCGGGAGGTGTCACTCGACAATGTTGTGGCAAATCACAGGCAACTTGCACGACCAGAGTCGACGATCCTTAGGGTATCGCAACTCGTACAAATCCTTTGCTCCGTTCGGATTCGGATCCCACTCCATCTAAGTTTCAACACAACAAATAAATTAAAATCAAAGCAAATAATTTCAACAAATAAAATAGGATTCATAATCATAAAAATAAATCATGGGCCAAGACAAATAATTTCAACAAATAAAATATGATTCGTAATCATA